GGTCGCCCTCCTGGCCGCCCGCTCGACCTGCTTTGGTCTGATGGTCGCCCTCCCGGCCGCCCGCCCGACCCGCTTCGGTCTCATGGTCGCCCTCCTGGCCGCCCTCCTGACCCGCTTCGGTCTGATAGTCGCCCTCCTGGCCGCCCTCCTGGCCGCCCTCCTGGCCGCCCTCCTGACCCATTCCGGTTTGATGGACAGCCTTCCGGCCGCCCGCCGGAACCATGACCTTGCGAGGACGGTCACCCGACCGCTCAGACTTTTCTTTTTGTGTGTGCCTATTTGTGTTTAGTTGTGTTCCCAGGTTTTTGTTTTCGTCAGTTTGTTTGTCCTCATGTTTCATTGGGCCCTCCATCCTTGCAGTTCCTCCCTCCACCCACCCAAATCTTTTTTTTTCTTGGGGGTGGGGGGTGGGGGGGTGGGGACGCCAGGTGCGTCCTTGAGTGTGGGTACTATAAGGATGGCACCATCTTTGGGCCTTCCTTGTCTGTACTCCCTTGTGTGTCTCATCATTTATCCAATTAATTTCACCCTTGTCTCGTGCCAGCTGTTTGTAATCACATCCTGTCTTGTCTGGGTATATAGTCTGTCTGTTAGTCTTGTTCATTGTCCCGTCATCGTTGGGTCTACGCTGTCTTGTCCTGATCTGATGTGTTCCAGTCCTGACCTGAGTTGTATTCCCAGTTTTGTAAGTGTGCTGCCACGTCAGCTATTTAATTTATTATCATTAAAAGTATTTATTTTTGTATCTTCTGAGTCCGAGTCCCTGCCTGCATCTATTGGGTTCGTTCCTGCCTGATAAACCATGACAGACCTCCTTCAAAAAATATTGTGAAATACCTGTTTTTGCTTTATGACTTTTCAGAACACTATTTATTACTCGCCATGTAGCTTTCATATCACCATTACTTTTATTTAATAAATCACTATACTATTCCTTCTTGTGTTTCCTTATAATCCCTACTAATTTATTTTTATACTTCTTATATTTCTCTTCAGCCTGTTGTGTTCTCAATTTCAAGAAACATGTATACAAATAATTCTTTTTTTTACAAGCATTTCTCAACCCTTTCGTCATCCATGGTTGGTCAACAACATTTCTCTTTGTACAATTATTTTACACACAATTCTTTTCATACAGAGCTCCTAAAATATTCATAAACTCATCATATGATCTGTTC